CCTCCTCCTCCTCCTCCTCCTCCTCCTCCTCCTCCTCCTCCTCCTCCTCCTCCTCCTCCTGGTTATTACCTGGGGTCTTCCACGGGCGGCTGAGTCCTTGCTGGCAAACATCATTTTTCGGAGTTCCGGGCGATTTTCCTGGATTCTCCCCCTGGCGGCGCATCCCGCGCCGCCCCTGGCGCGCTCCGCCCACCAGAGGGGGGAGTCCAGCGCCGATCCCAGAAATCTGCGCAGACTTCCGAGAGCTTTTGTCTGTGCAATTGTCTCTTCTTCTGCCCGGTTTCCCCACGGAGATCTCGGTGCGGTGCCCATCCTGGTGCGTCCAGGTGGAAGTGGGGCCAAAAGATGGTCTCGTTGCCTTTCTGAGGCTCCCTGTGACAAGGCTTTGGCTGTGGGGGGTGCTGGGCCAGGTTTTTCCCGCGCACGCCCCCTCTCCCCAGGGAGGACGTTTCTGCGCGGCAGCGCCTCCTGGGGGCAACCTCAGCGGGGAGGGGCACCAGCTCCTTCAGAGGATCGAGGGCCAAGGATCGAGACGGCTGCGAGCGTTTGGACGGCCTGTCGGCGATCCTCCCCGTGGCGGACCCCCCTTGGCACGGCCCAGCTCAAAAACGGCACATCCGACGCTTTCAAAGCCCACGTCGATGATCGGGCAAGCTGCTTCCATACAGGGTATAGCCAGGCCTCCCTTCTCAGCCTGTTCGGCGTCTGAGCCCGTTCGAGCGCCGAGTGGGCAGTCGAACGGGCTTGATTCCCGTGGGGCGATGGAGAGTTGGCCCGCCCGGCAGCCGAAAGGGTTCGATCCTGGGCCTGTTCCACGGCAACATGGGCTCAGACGCTAAACGGGCTCGGAAGGGCACCCTGAGGGAGTGGGACATTGGGAGCGTGTTTCTTTATTGCTTGGGGCATCATGGGCAATATAGCCCCCTCCCCCCCCTCCCCCCCCTATAACGTAACGCCCCTCCCCCCCCCAGTGCGCTCCGGGCCCCGCCGTGCGCACGGCGGGGGGGAGGCGCTCCATAATACCCCCCCTGGCCCCTCCCCCCCTCCCCCCCTATGATGCCCGTTATCGCGGAAACTAAAGAAACGCGCTCCTGAGAGAGGGGGATGGGACATTGGGTGGAACGGACTTCCATGTGCACATGCGCGACGCAGAAAAACGGGTTCGATTGTGCCGACTTCAGCTCGTAAGCTGCCCGTGCAAGGTCGCGCGTAAGCGCACTCGCTTCCAATCTAGCGTGCCGCGCTGGCGGCCCAGGTAAGTCGCGGCGTAGGGTCGCTCTGTCGTCTCGCATAAGACCCGTTTCTGTTCGTCGCTCACATGGAGCTTTGCCTCGTCCGTCTGCTCACCGCTGGCCTTTCGCGTGGAGGCCTTCTGTTACTGCGGCGTGGCCGAGTTTGGCGCGGTGCTCGCGACGTGCAGGGACTGGAAGGCGAATGTGGATTTCGAGGCAGCGTGGGCTGCGGTGTACGAACACACGCAGTGGGCAGACCCTGGAGACGTCGGGGGCTTAGAGTATAGTAGAGACGTTGATTTATTGTGTTCCAGACTGACGTGTTTTTTTTGCAGCATTTGGATCACTTTTTCGGTTGTCAGTTTTGGGATTCTCGTTCGCGCCGTTATCGGCTCGGTTCCGTTTTGTACTGCCGGTTTCGTCTGTTTGGGGCTGCCGTTTTTCCTCCCGTTTCGATTGACCGAAAACTCGACCACGAAAACGAACCCGACCCTTGCATCTTTTACCTCGACTAAGGTCGGGGGCGAGAGCTTGCAGTCGCTAATCCGGCGCCCGTTTGGTGAGGATGCGGTTGGTTGGCGCGTGGACGTGCTGGTGGCCGACCAGCAACACAGATCCGGTCGCGTGATCGCCTACGATTCCGCGCTGGATGCCTACCTCATCAGATATAGCCACGCGGGGCGCGGAAGCGGCGAGGACTCCGAGGAAATCTGGGAGGCCGAGCGCATGCGCTGGTCGGTGGCCATGGCAAGGAACCCCTCCCTCGCAGGGAGGAGCCGGTTCCATTTCACGTGCCCTCCAGAGGAGTCCTGGGCGTCGAGAGAGAGCCGAGGCAGCGCAAGCATCCCCCGCTCCCTGCTCTCGGACGACGCCCCGAGCCCTCAGCATCCGTCCCGCCGAAAAATGGCGCGGATGTGTCTGTGGGGGAGCTGGAGGGCGGAGCTGAAGCACAACGTCGAGAGAGTGCCGAGCCGGCTGGTGCAGAGACTCGACGACCACAGCGACGAGGTGCTCTTCGTGGCCTTCTCGCCCTGCGGCGCCTCTAGGAAGAAAATTGCTTTACTCAAGTCGGGCACATCCCTCTCAAGAGGAATATTCAAACATAGTCAAGCCAGCATCTGGGGACAACTGTTCTACTACTTTAGAGTTGTTTTGACTAGTTTTGCCTTTCCCTCCAAAATCCGGCTGTAGGCCTGTAGGATGACATGCCCGACCTAATGCCTCACTAACATCAGCTTTCGGAGCTCCGGCGCCGCCCCCTGGCGCACTCCGCGCGCCGGGGAAGGGGGGCCCCAGCGCCGAACCAAGAAGTCCGCGCGGACCTCGGACGGCGTAGGTTCGTCTCCCGTCGACCGGCGGCGACCCCGCTAGCGGCGTTCAACGTTGAACGCCACGGGCGACCCAGCCTCGTTCGACGTGGAACGCCTTGGACGGTTCGGAAACGGCCGATCGTTCAAGGTCGAAGGCTCCCCGCGGTGTCAGAAACCAAGGCCGAAGTCGGCACGGCACGAAGCTGACGTGTACCCCTCGCCCGGCAGGTCGGGCCCGCCTCGCACTCGGGAGCCTTGAGACGGGGGTCAATGCAAGCGGGGGTCAGCCAGAGCGCCCGATCTTGCAGGATTATGCAGGGCCAGGGTCGCACTGACCAGGGTGTGGGTGTAGGATGCTGCAGGATCTTGCAGGATCCTTCGAATTGGCTGGGCTTGGGTGCAGGATCTTGCAGGATTCTGCACAGAATCGACTTGGGTCAGAAGATCCCCGACGCACATCTTGGACACCCCGAACGCCAGACCCACGGTGTGCCCGGTGCTCCTTGAGTAAGTATCCCGGCCCGTGCCTTCGACGAAGGACGCCTGCATGCCGCGGCCGCCAGGCCCACAGTGTGCTTGTGCTCTGTGATTAAGTCGGACGTGTCCCTCTACAGGGTGGACATTCAAAGATAGTCAAAAAGTAGTATGGGGACGTTTTTTCAAACAACAAGTGGCACGTGTGCCATGGCTCTTGCACAGAGCGGAAGGGGGAGGAAGAGGAGGTGGAGGAGGAGGTGGAGGAGGAGGAGGAGGAGGGAAGAGCGGGCAAGACATCGCCCCTCGGGGCCCAGCAACGGGGCCCAAATCCCAGGTGGGGAGGGGGGGGGAGGTGGTGTGCGTCGCGACGCGGAAAAGCATTGTCGGGGCGGAGGGGGCACGGGGCGGAGCCCCCACTGGGGCGCTGGGGACGCGGGGAGGGAGGTGGGGGAGGTGGTGTGCGTCGCGACGCGGAATAAAGCGTTCGTGGCGGAGGGGGCAGTGGGCGGGGCTCCCGCTGGGGCGCTGGGGACGCGGGGGGGCTCGGGGCAGAGAGCCACGGCGCGGGGGTCCCACTCTGTCGCTGGGGACGCGGTGTGTGTGTGTGTGTGTGTGTGTGTGTGTGTGTGTGTGTGTGTGTGTGTGTGTGTGTGTGTGTGTGTGTGTCGATGTGTGTGTGTGTGTGTATGTATGTATGTGTGTGTTTGTGTGTGTGCGACGCGGGATAAAGTTGTCGGAGCTCTAGACACCCTGTGCAAGATAGTATTGTGTGATCAGTTTTGGATATGTTTTGGCTATTTTGTCGTCCGAGTCTTCCTGTAGGAGGGCACGCCCGACCTAACTCTATGGGTATCCTCCTCGCGTTCTTGTGTGAGGATCGCCCGAAGCAGATTACAAGTATTCAGTTTACTTCAGGTCCACGCGAATCTCGGATCGGCGCTGGGCCCTCCTGGCAGTGCCGCCCCTGGCGCTCTCCGCGCGCCAGGGAAGGGGGGATCGAGCGCCGATCCAAGAAATCTGCGCGAACCTGTGAATGTTTCCTGAGATCCGACGTTGCGAAAAAATGCGGCATCGGGACAAATCTCGGCCAGAACCGTAGAACCTATCTTCCTACGGCATTTTTCGAGCTGGATCGATCTGTGATGGCCCCTGGGCCCGAATCCAAGCGCGAGCGCCCGCGGTGTTGAAAAATGGCAACGCCCAGAGCTCAGGGAAGTTCATGCCTCTGCAGAATTCCATCTCCACCTTAGGCACGCGGCTCGCGAGCTGCTCCCGCGACTGCAGCACCATCGTCTGGGGGCTGTGCGGCGGCAGCGGCGGTGATCAGCTACGCTCAGAGGGGGGTGGGGGGAGGAGGGCGGCGGCTTCTGAGAAGCACCGCTGCTTCTCAGAAGGCGCTGGCCTTATCTGTAGATGTGAGGCCAGCGCCTTCTGAGAAGCAGTCTCCCTCTGGCAGCCTTTTGTTCAGGCGTTGTTTCGCGGATCGGCTTGCGCCCCTGGCCCCCCCTCCCCTCCCCCCCACCCCACAGACCAGACCTTGGCTACCGCTGGCGGCTGCTCTTGGGCGGCCAGTCAGGACCCCCCCCCCCCAGTCTGCTGGCGCGACCTGGTGGAAGCAGGTCGAAGGTCGACCCGGCCCGGGCCCAGACCCTCCGCCGTCCCCCGCCCTTCGGCCACCTGCCGAGACCCCGAGGAAGAAAGCGCCCCCCTCCCCTCCACCCCGCGGGTGCGCGCCGCCGAGGTGAGCCCCCCCAGTTCCGCCGGGAGGCGACGCTGCGGCACGAGACGTCCGCGATCCGGGCGGCGTGGTGGCCAGCGGCCACCGGGGGCGCCGAGCCCGCTGCGGGGGCCCTCAGCAGGCCGGGCACCCCCAGAAGTCGTGGGGCCCTCCCTGCAGGGCGCTCTTCGATCTCCCCGATGCGATGCGATTCGGTTTCGGTGGCCTCCCATTCGGATTCGATCCGACTTCGGATTCCGATTTGGGTTCCGGATTTTCAGTGGAGACTTGCTAGCCTGCCGATTTGTCACTCGATGTTTCGCCTGCCCTGCGGTCCACGAGCTGCCATCTTTGCACACCGCGGGCGTTTTCGCGCGTTCTCGGGTCCCAGGGCTATCACAGATCGACCTGGCTCGAACAGCGCCGCAGAGAGATGGGGGCCAGGGCTCCGGTAGTGATGTTTCGCGATGTTGACATTGTTTGCAACCTCGGATCTCCAGGGACCTTTCGGGACGGGGAAATAGACACATATACAAGTATTCGTTCTTTCCCATGCAAATGTGGAACGTATGGGAAGTGGAGGGAAAGACGATTCAGATAGTAGAGAATTACGCTACCGAGGAACCCCGCATACTTACCATGTGTCTTGCGAGATGATATCTGACGCGGAACTTGCGAGCACGTTGCTCGTGGCCGTTGCTTCGCTGACATCGTAGGCGCCGTCCTCGCCGACCCCCCGACCCTCGACGACGTCCCCTGTGCTGTGGAGAAAACGGCACGCCTGCCACGCCCCGCGACCCTGGGACGGATAGAGACCGCGGTGAGGGACCACCCCGTCCGCACCGCCTGCGGTGCGTAGAGAGTACCACGCTTGCCACGCCCCGCGACGCTGGGACGGATCGACACCGCGGTGAGGGATCACCCAATGCGCACCATCTGGGGCCTGGAGAAACTGCCACGCCTGCCACGCCCCGCGACCCTGGGACGGATAGCGGCCGCGGTGAGGGACAACCCCGTCCGCACCCCCTGGGGTGTGGAGAAAATCCTTGGGACGGATAGAGACCGCGGTGAGGGACCACCCTTGCGCACCCGCTGTGGCGTGGAGAAAATGCCACTCCTGCCACGCCACGCGACGGATAGAGACCGCGGTGGGGGATCACCCCGTCCGCACCGCCTGCGGTGCGTAGAAACTGCCACGCTTGCCACGCCCCACGACCCTGGGACGGATCGACACCGCGGTTAGGGATCACCCAATGCGCACCCCCTCGGGTGTGGAGAAAGTGCCACGCCCCGCGACCCTGGGACGGATAGCAGCCGCGGTGGGGGACCACCCCCTGCGCACCCCCTGGGGTGTGGAGAAAATGCCACGCCTGCCACGCCCCGCGACCCTGGGACGGATAGAGACCGCGGTGAGGGACCACCCCCTGCGCACCCCTTGTGGTGTGAAGCAAATGCCACGCCTGCCACGACCCGCGACCCTGGGACGGATAATTAGAGACCTCGGTGAGGGACAACCCCCTGTGCACCCCCTATGGTGTCGAGAAAATGCCACACCTTACGAATGTTGCGCGCATGTGTTGTGTGGTATGCGCGTCATGCGTATGATGCGCGTGCGGCTGTATCTGGGCGCGTGTCTCATGCGGGTGCCCAGTTTGTGTCATGTGTATGATGCGTGTGCGGATGTATCTAGACGCGTGTCTCACGAGCGTGTCGTGCATGTGTTGCCAGAACCCCACGTGCCGTGCATGCGTTGCCTTCGGGTGTGGCGAGGGAGAGGAGAGGAAGAGGAGGAGGGGAAGAGGGAGGTGTGTGGGAGGAGACGCGGGTGCGACGCGGGCGGGAAGAAAACCATAACCCCACGAAACATGTGGGGAAAAACATGGGGAGCCCTGGGATGTATGTCTTTTTGTTGGTGTGTCCCTGGGCCCCTTCTATGCTGGCCAGGCCGACCTTGGGCCCGGGAGCGGTGTCCACGCCGCCCCGGCCCAGCCCAGGAGGGCGCACGAACGTGCCCCTCTGGCCCAGGATGGGCCAGGCCAGGACTGGTGAGGAGGTGGTTCGGAGCGTATTTCTCTATTGCTTGAGGCATAATGGGCATTATAGTTATATCCCCTGCCCCCCCCCCGCCCCCCTACAACGTGGCGCCCCTCTCCCCCCCGTGCGCTCTGGGCACTGCCGCCTTGCGCACGGCGGGGGGGAGGCGTTACACTATACCCCCCCCCCCCCCTGGCCCCCTCTCCCCCAACCCTCTCCCTATAATGTTCATTATCGCTGGAAGTAAAGAAACGCGCTCCAGGATGGGCCAGGCCAGGACCGGTGAGAAGGTGGTCAGGTGGCGTCGCCCGCCCACGGTAGTGCCTGCTCGAGCAGGGGCTCGACTACAGAAAGATCGGCCTACCTTTAACATGAGATGGTCGTCCAATCCGCGACGCGAACGCTGCGTAGAATTGTTGTGTAGTGTACGACGTTTCTGATTTGTCCCATACATTCGGCGAACATGTCAAGTTTGGGGTGCATCAGCTCTGTCGTCGATCCCCTACTCGAGCTCCACACCTCTTGAAGTGGTGAGGGGGGGCACGGGGGCAGGGAGGGACGAGGTGGAGTCGTCCGGGATGGCGGGGGCCGCCAGCAGGCCGGGCGCCCCAGAAGGATCGCCTGCTCCACCCCTCTCAAAAAATGGAAGGGGGAGGGGCCGGGATCGTGGGCGAAACGCAGATTCGTAGGGGGAACGGGCTCGGCCCGCTCATCTACTACGACTTCTGAGGCTGCGCCTTTCCGTGCCGCCTCCCTGTAAGCACGGCAGACTCTTCCGGGTACGAGTGTCATCCGTGGCCCCGCGGGCCGGGCCATTGGGCCGCGACCCCGCGGGTAACGGGGCGTCTGTTCGCAGATGCCCCGCGCGGGACGCATCCGTGCGACCGCGCATCCGCGGGACCGCGCCCCGGAGGCCAGACCGCGAGGGCGCGGAGACGGTGCATCGACGATGCATCGCTGATATCAGGGCGATGCCTCGACGATGACTAGACGATGCGTGGGGCGGCCTGCATCGACGGCGCACCGACGATACATGGGCGATGTATCTGCCATTCCAGGTCGATGCTTATCCCCCTTCTTGGCGGGCTCTGGAAACCCTGAACCCAGAACTTATGTCATCTCTTGGAAGGAAGCTTTTTACTTCTGCCGGCTTCCGCCAGCCTTCCCCGCCGGTCGAGCCGTCGCCGTTTTATTTCCGCTGCCTTCCGCCGACCTTCCGTCGACCTTCCGCCGAGGAAGAAACATAATTTTCTTCGACCTTCGATGGCAAGGCCCTCTTTGGAGCGTCTCACTTATGCATGTCCCCCCCTACCGTTGCCCCTCAGGAGGGGCAGGAAGAAACGAGGGGGGTATCGGGCGGGAGCCCCCAACAGGCCAGGCGCCCGGAGGTGCTCGCGCAATGCCCCCCCTGGCGCCAGGGAGAGACGATCAGGGGTCGTCCAAGCGAGGGGGAGGACTGATCTACCCTGTGGAAGGAAACTCCTGGGCAGGCTTGGCCAAAAAGGGTTGTCTGGATGCCCGCTAGGTTGTCCAAGAGGCTGTTTAGGGTAGGTCGTCTTGACGTCATGGTATCAACAGGAGCAGGGTTGTCCGGGGTGTCGGGGGGCGGTGTCTTGGGATTTTTTCTCCGATTGAGTGGTCACTCCATTCAACATAGCAGGGTCGGTTCGCGACGTGTCGACCAGCGGCGACCCAGCCGCAGGCGTTCCACGTTGAACGCCGCTGGCGACCGAGAGTCGGTCGATGCTGAACGATCTAACGTGTCGGAAACTGCCGATCATTCAAGGTTGAACGATCCCCGCGGTGTCAGGAACCAGCGCCGACGTCGGCACGTCACGAACCTGCCGCAGGGTTGCGCGGATATCGTGGCCTGGGCCGTGAATCGGGCGACGAAATCTGTACACATATCCACTGCCTCTGGCGGGGTCCTTCATGGGCCCAGGAGCTGTGTATACGCCGTCCAGGCCAAGCCAGGAGGGCGTGGCGTATGCACCGCTGCTGGCTTCATATTGGGCCTGGCCAGGGAGCAATGGATATGTATTGATGTGGGAGTGGATGGGGGTCAGTTTACGAGCGTGTCTAGAGAGCAGGGGATGGAGGTCCAGGCCCCATGGTGAGATTCTGGAAATATGGAGGTTTACGTTTTCGATGATCGGGACACGGTGTCCGACGTTATGTACTTCCGGGAGACAACACGTATGAAAGAGCGCGCCCGTCGCGACCGGAGTAAGAAAATGGGGGCCCCAGCTTCAAGCTACCCCCCCCCCCTTCCTTCCAAAAGGGGGGGGGAGCTTCCGAAGACCCCCCCCCCTCCCTTTCGTAAGGCTTTCTAAGCTGGGGGGGGCTCTGGCTCAAGAGGGGGTGGGGCTTCGAAACTACCCCCCCCGCCCCCCCCTTTTTGGGAGCAGAAAGTGAGCCCGGGCTTACCTTTCAAAGGGGGGGGGCTTCGGAAGTTACCTCCCCCCTTCCTTCCTTTATTGGCTTGGACACGGAGGGGCGGTTTCAAGCTATCCTCCTTCCTGTGCAAAGGGAGGGGGGTCCGAAGCTACCTCCCCCCCTCCCTTCCGGGGCTCTGGCAAAATGGCGGAATCCCTGACGACAGGTGCGCACCGCAACGCTAGAGAACGAATTGGACAATAACGTCGACCCCTGGTTCGTTTTCTTGTTTTCTTGTTTTCTCGGCCCGTGGTTCGTAGTCTCGTTTTCTCGGGCCCTGCTTCGTTTTCTTGTGTTCTCGTGTTCTTGTTTTTTGGGTATTCTCGTGTTTTCGGCTCCTGGGTCGCGGTCCTGTTTTCTCTGATCTTGGTTCGCGCTCTCGTTTGCTTGTTTTCTCGGTGCCTGGGTCGTGGTCCAGTTTTCTTGGACCCTGCTTCGTTGTCTCGTTTTCTCGGCCCCTGGGTCGTGGTTTTGTTTTCTCGGACGCTGGTTAGTAGATTCGTTTTCTCGTTGTCTCGGTCCCCGGGTGGTAGTCGTGTATTCTCTGACCCAGCTTCGTTTTCTCGTTTCTTCATTTCCTCGGCTCCTGGGTCGTGGTCTCGCTTTCCCGAACCAAGCGTTTTCTGGTGATCTCGGCCCCTGGGTCGTGGTTTCCTCGGACCCTGGTTCGTTTTCTCCTTTTCTCGTTTTTCTCGGCCCCTGGGTCGTGGGTCGTTTTCCCCGCTGCCCTGGCGGGCCTGGCCCTGGAACTGATTAGCCGAGTTCGACGGCGCGGTTGCCTCGTGGCCTCGCGGCCCAACGACGCCGCGGCGCGCGGGTCCAGTGACCCAATTGCGCCGCGATTAACAGTCCACCTCGCGCGACGTGGGGCGCGTCGGCCGAGCGATCCTCAACGCCCCGCGGTCCTCAGGAAGACTGCGCGCGCAGCTTGCGTGGATATTGTGCCTTGGCTGCTGCGGCGTAGCAATTTAAGGGATGCGCTGCGCACTTAGAGGTTCGTAGTTGCGGGTCGAAGTCTGGGGGGGTGGGCTACTCGCGTGGTCTGGTTCGAGTGTCACGGCAGTGGCGAGAGGGGTTCGTGCGAAATTGTTGTTTCAAGACAATTGTTTTGTTGGTTGGGTTGGTCTCGCAATCTGGCGGTCTGCTAATGTTCTCCCGCATGGTGGCGCACGGGTATCAGTGGCTCTCTAGACCAGACCCTCCGTCGGATCCCACATCTAGATTTCGTCGCCCTGATGAAATCGCCGAGATGTCATGACCCCCTCGGCTTCTGTCGATGCGTTCCCCGGGCCCTCTCCCGTCCGCGCCCGTACGCCTTGGCCCATGATCTGCTGCGCCCCCCTTCCCGGCCATCTCTTGCGACTCGGGGCTCGACTACAGAATTGATTTTCCCGAGCAGTGATGTTTCCTTCCGAATTTACGGACAAACATATCGGAAGTTCGTAGATGTACGAGCACTCTGTTAATGTTTCGTAGGCTCGTCGAGGAAAACAGGTTGGGGTAAATCAGCTATGCAGTGGATATCCTACTCGAGTCCCCGGCGATCCCGAGACAAGGAGGGAAGTCACGGACCCCAGACTATCGACGTCGCTATGCTTTCGCAACGCGGTTCCCTGGATGTCTGGATTTTTACCCTCTGGACCGCTTGCTCGTCCCGATCTGTTTTCTCTTGACAGGGGCCCGGTGGTTTCCGCGAGGCCCAAACCTGCCGTCGTTTTTTTCTCTTACAACAAAAGGAGGTTTGGGGGTGGAGGGTCGGAGCTCTCACCTTGCGGACAGATTACGGTTAGGAAGTTTGGCTTAGCGTCTCGCTCCGCCGAGTATGGCCCACCACGCTGCGGCGCGACACGCGATCCATGGCCCAGCCTCCAGGCGTCAACGTCGCGAACCATTTTCGACCTCCCGCCCCGCGGAGCGGAGAGACACGTTATCCACTCGCTGGGCATAGCGTGTCGCTGGGGCCGCCGTCGCGGGCGCATGAATGCGAGAGCGGTGCAGGCGCTGGCCGGGCGACGGGCGGGACGCGCCGGGGACCGATCGAGGCACAGGCCGGGCAGAGGAGGAGGCGAAGAAAGCGAAAGCACGGGAACCGTCGAGGACGCGCAGTCCAGGCCGCCGCGACGCGCCAAGCGAAAGCGCAGCCCGCGAAGGCGTTCCAGGTGGAACCTTGCGACGCGGAGGCACTGAGGGACTCGGCATTGCCAGTGTCCCCGACGGGATTCGACCTTGAACGATCGGGGCCGCGATCGTCGATGCAGGCTTGAACCATCGACGCGTTGTCGAACACCTTTGCGCGCGCCGACGCGGGGTGGATGTCCTGGTGGGGGCCATGATATATTTCCCCACATTTCATG